GCGATTTAAATTGGGACGGAGGGAGTAATAAGTAGTATTATATGCTATGAGTCAAACACAAAATCATTGATATGTTTTTAATAAAATTTTAATATTATTTTTAACATGTAAATTTTATATTTTAATTTAGTAAAATAACTCAAGTATGTTAATATAATTTTAGTCAAAAAATTACTTTCTTTATGTATTTATATATGAGAATGTGTGTGTGTGTGTGTATATATATATATATATATATTTATATTTATATATATTTATATATTTATATTTATATTTATATTTATATAATTTTTAAATATATTTAAACCACCGGTTCGACCAGTTGAACCACTGGTTCGACCAGTGAACCAGTAAACCAGTACCTTGACCGGTTCGGTCCCCGGTCCGGTTCTCAAAACTATGATAGCAACACGTTGGTAAAGCAAACTAGCAAAGTGCGAAAATGAAATTTGTATCTATTTTCCAACGATCACTTGAGCTCCTCCATTATAAATTGGGACTAATTAATTTCTTGCTTGAGGGGCATCCACTATCATCCTATTTCTATATACTCCCTTCGTTCTCAAAAAGAGTTCCTATTTTGAAAAAGTGGAAAAATAATGAAGTGTTAAATTGTAGTTGACTTCCAATTTTGCCTTTGATGTGATGGGTAAAAGTAAGATGTGATGAGTAGATTATTAGAAAAAAAGTATGATGTGATAGGTAGGGTATGAAAAAGTAAGGGTAAAAGTGGTTTTTTAATAGAAAGTGGAAGTGTTTTGTTGGAAGTGAAAAAAAATGAAAGAGAAAGTGTTTTTGAGAACGGAGGGAGTATAATACATTGTATTATGTTGTCTTTACTTGTTTTCATTATGTATTGAGGCTAAGGATGATGCCATTATGACTCTTGTTAGATTATGAGTTTGGTTCAAAAATATTACTCCCTCCCTCCCAGAAAATACTTTCCATTTTGATTTTTTTGGTCAAACAATGACACGTTATGACTTTTTTCGGTCAAACAGTGACATGCTTTGACTATAACTATATTAGGCTTTTGTACGCTTGTAAAATATCCCCGATTATTGGATTTCCTGGTCCAATATCTCTCTTGGACTAGTAAGACGAGTTGGACTCTACACGTTCTCCTAATCCAATCCCTCTTTTGGACCATTATAATGGGTTGGCCCAACTAATATTACTTTGGGTCAGAGGAAGGCACTCTCTTTATAGCTTGGCTTTTCTTTTATTTTTAAATTGATATATCGATTTCAATTCATTACCATAAAAATATTATACTTTAGTATCTAAAAGCTAATAAAATATTTATATATGGAGTAGAACACACAGAGTACCATATATATCATTAGAAAACTAAAATAAATAGAAAATTACATTATTTAAATAAAAATACTTGCAATGTTTCATAATTATCTTTTCACTTTCTTTTATAAATTGTACTAAAACATTCTTCTACTTTCCTTTAAAGAAAATAATTGTATGACCCATATTTTTTTCTTTTTCTTCTACCAAAACCATAACAACACTTACTCCGTAATATACTTTACTAAAAAGGAAAAATTACTCAAAATAATCCCAACTTTACCCGGTTTTTCAAAAATAATCCCACCTTTCACTGTGATGCATAATAATCCCAACTTTACCGAAATTTGCCAATTTTGGGTCGCCGTTAAGTTTCTAACGGAGGGTTAACGGAAATGCCCGTTTTAGGAAACAAAATGAAAGTTGGGATTATTTTTGATGAATTTTCATTTTTTTTATTTTTTTTTAAATTTTTCATTTTAATTTTTTAAATTACTTTCTACCTCCATCATCATTTCTTTTTCCTTTTTTAAAGATTAGTCTTAGTTTAAAAAATAAAAATAATAGATATAAAAAATGAAAAAATGAGAAATGTAACTAAAATGATACAAAAATAATAAAATAAATAAGGTAATCAATGGAAACTAACTTGAAGTTGGTAAAATTAAAGTAAAATAAAAATATACGGGTGGGTTTTAATATTTTACGCATTATACAAATTCATTAACATATCACTTCTTATTTTTTAGAAAAATTATGTACAACAATTCCAACTTTACCGGACGGTTTGTTCTTTTAAAAAAATAAGTAGTGCATTAAGACTCCGTATAGTGAGTAAAATGTTAAAACCCACCACTCCGTATATATTTATTTTATTTCTTATCAGTTTCTGTTGAATTTCTATTGATTACATTATTTATTTGATTAATTTTGTATGATTTTAGTTATTTTTTTTATTTTCATTATTTTTGATATCTATTTTTTTCTAAGGTAAGAATAATCTTTAAAAAAGAAAAAGAAATGGAGGTTGAAAGTAATTTAAAAAATTTAAATAAAAATTTCAAAAAAAATTCAAAAACAAAAATTCATCAAAAATAATCCCAACTTTCATTTTGTTGCCTAAAACGGGCATTTCCGTTAAACCCTCGTTAGAAATTTAACGGCGACCCAAAATTGGCAAATTTCAATAAAGTTGGGATTATTATGCATCACAGTGAAAGGTGGGATTATTTTTGAAAGACCGGGTAAAGTTGGAATTATTTTGGATAATTTTTCCTATTAAAAATTATGCCAAATTAGGAAATTAGGGTCCGAGTATTTAAAGTTTAAGGCTATATATATATATATATACACGAGTCCCTCGCACTAGGTTAAACCAAGTATTTATTGAACCGGTTCAGCTGATCTTATCGATTAATACTACGTAATTACCTTATTCAATTCAATTACTTTTGGGATTCGAAGTCCGATCCTATTCTTAGAACTTACTAAAGGTAAGTTCCCACACTGCCTGGAGTGAATAACTCACAGAAAAGAACACTTTGAATCCCACGCGATTCTCCTCCGCGCCTCTCCGCCAGCCTCCGCGGCGTCGTCACTCCTCCGGTCTCCCAGGGGGGCCTGTAGCACCGGCCCCGGCATCATCGCATGCAGTCCTCATCGTCTTCTTTTACCAAGGTGAATCTATGATTTCGAATCTCGATCGTTTGATTTTCTTAATTTTGTTTGGTTTTTAGATTATTCAATTGATCACGGAGTAGAATTTTGTTTTTATTAAGGTACATTCTGAATTTGATTTTTTAAGATCTCTTTTAGTTTGAGATTGAGTGTTCAGCTTATGTAATTGAGTAAATTTTATAATTGATCGTTTATGACAGAGTATTTCATATCCAGTCTTCTATTATTGATTCTTTTATGAGTAACTTTTCACGGATAAATGGATAATCCTTTTTATGACCTTCATGTTGGTGTTAATTTGAAAGCTGAAAGTATAATTTTATAATGATCATATATCTTTCTTGTCGTCCCCAATATTAGAGGCTGTTGTTGATGTGCCATTTGTTAATTTGAGTCGCTGTCTACTACAACTAGAGTCTACGGTCAGAGTCTCACTTGACAATCATAATCATTATTGTTGTGTTGTCCGTCAAGTTGACATCAAAATACGTTACTAGACATAACGTCAATCAGGGGCGGATCCATTCATATGTAGTTGGGGGCCATTGCCCCGTACTATTTTTTGATTTTAAGTAAAATTTTAATTTTTTTTAGAGTTACATAATTAAGGACCCCAACTTAAAAACATTAGGGACTCTAATTTAAAGTAACAATAGAGACACCAATTGGTATATTAAAGGAATAGATTTTTAAATGAAAAATTTAAAAATGATAAAAATAAAATCTAAAGTGAAACTGTGAGACATAATATATACTGAGTAACAATCAAACTAAGTTATAATGTAGACTGTGTAGTCCACTAGTCCATAAATTTAGTTTGTTGTTTCCTAAACTTTTTTATTTACTATTTAAATACTACATCCATCCCAAGAGTATAATTATAGTTAGATCTCTCGATATTTTTTGTTTAATTGCATCTTTCGTTGATTACTTCCATCATCTCCGATGGAGCCAAAATTTCACCATTTTTTGGCTTTGGGGTGTGATGGAATAAATCAAAATGGATCTCTAAATTGTCTGCGCTTCTTTACTTCTTTAATTAATGAAGTAGCAGTTAGTCAAGCAATGCAACTTTCGACGTCGAGCCGGGGGTCTCTTTGGAAACAGCCTCTCTACTTTCGAGTAGGGGTAAGGTCTGCGTACACACACCCTCCCCAGACCCTACTCTTGTGGGATTTAATTGGGTTGTTGTTGTTGTTGTTGCATCTTTCGTTGATCATCTGATAAAATAAAACGTATTTGTCACATTTTGTTTGTTTTAATTTGAAGAAATTTTTAATATATAATTTTTACTTTTTATTTATACATCAATTTATAGACAAAATAGTTCTAAAAGAGATGGGATTTCGCGCACTTTTCATAGTGAGACGATAGTTTTGGAATACGGAGAGTAATTGTTTGAGATTAAATTCATTATCTGTTCCGGATCCGCCACTGGCGTCAATGTGAAATTACACTTTTATCCTTCAAATTAACACCCACAGAACAGAAGGTCATAAAAAGACTATCCGTGGAAAGATACCAATAAAAGAAACACCATCATTGTAATACTTCCTCTGTTCATTAATTTCTCTCTCGCTTTTCTTTTTGGGCCGTCCAAAAATTTCTTTCCCGTTTCCTATTTTAGCAAAAAACTTTTAAGGGATATACCATTATACCCTCACTTTTTATCAACACTATTCACTTTATTCCATCACATCAATGACAACACATGAAAAGTCTTTACACTTTTTAAACTTATCTTTCCGTGCCAAGTCAAACCGGGAAAGGAATTTTTGGACGGAGGGAGTATTTGTTAATATATGACTAAATATGAAAAAACCTATATTATAAAAGACCAATTATAGAATTCACTCTATGAAATATAATGATCAACACAATTCTTTCACAAAGGTTCCCATGACATTGCCCGACAATGTCATGGGAACCTTGCAGTTCTTTTGACACCAAAGTGCAAAGTTTTATTTTCGGACATTGGTGGTTTGGAGATCCTGCCCTTTGGACCTTAGGGAGAGGGGGGGTGGGGGTGGGCACCAATGTTCTACAAGATAAGGGATGCCGTGTAAAAACCCAAGGGATGGGTTACGGATGGGGGAGGTGGACAAGGAGTAGGGGGCACAAGAGGGCCTCTAAAACCACCATCTATACTAACATCGATGGATGATTTCAAAAGAACCGTTTCTTAACATATATATTGTTGTAGCTTATAATTTAATTTGATGATTAACTACATTTTGTTAATTTGGCTTGCTCTACGATAATGTTTTTTAAAAGCATCCAAGATTTAGAGAAATTCACTTTTGTTCGAGCCATTCCAATTTGATTCTAGCTTAACCACCGTCATTAAATCAACCATTGTATACAATGGGAGTTTTTTCATATATGTATTATGTAATGTAGGTTTATTAGTGGTTATCAATTTATTGTATCGGGTTATCACACTCTATAGACCTCAATGTGGTATCGATTGTACCAAGCTATTTATTGTTGTTGTTGGTTATCAATTTAGTTTACCACCCTCTTCAAATAAGCTATTGTATATAGTGGGAGTTATTGTTTTGTCATTTTAGTAAGCATATATACTATTACTCCGTGTTGTTTTTTAGTATCTTATAGACGGATGTATTGTCCCCTTTTTTCAGAACAAACCCCATGGGTTCAATTTCTAGGATCCGCCATTGGACATTGACTCAAATAAAACAAGAAAACATACTAGCACAGCTACACAAGAAGAAAAAGGTTAAACAAAACCAAAGAAAGGTTTCCAATCTATATGCAACCACACTATCCCTATCTACCTCCTAGAACACGTGACACGAAAAATTCCAACCACCGTACAACTTTAATCATGCACCTTCAATCTCTTGTATCTAAGGTCATGTCCTTGGCCAAGTGTAGAACTTTGTGTCTCCTCTAATCACCTAACTCTTAATCTCCTTAGGCCTACCTTTCCTTAAAATATTTATCCTCAATTGACTTATCTTATCCTCTTCCTTTTCACATACCTCAATTCACAATTTGAGTTGCACATTCTCGTCACACATGGCCCCGCATACTTGTCTCCACTTTGTCCATCCCACTTTGATACAACAAGTATCACCATCGATCTCCCCATCACCTTGAGTGATTAATTCAAGGTACCAAAACGTACCCCATATACGAATGGGTTGCAAAGCAATCTTCACGTCCACTTCCAATTTATGTGGTGTGCCACTGGATTTGCACTCTACATACTCAATCTTTGTCTTGCTTTGTTTGAAAACTATATAGTCCAAGGTATACCTCAGTTACTATCATCGATCCCCTCATGCATCTTGTCAATTAACACAATACAACAAAAAGCCAGTAAAATCCCACAAAAGTAGGTAGGAGGGTGTGTACGTAGACATTATCCTAACTCGAGAGTAAAAAGACTATTTTCAAGAGACCTCCAACTCGAGTAACATAGAAAGAACATAGCATAGAGAAACAAGCCAACGACAAACTAAGGGTAAAGAAAAGTTCAAAGAAACACCAAGCCTAGCAAGCAAACAAGGTCACAAGCAAAAACTACCACCAAGGCCCAAGCGACTACCCAAGTATCCTAATCCTAGATTTCTAGGTGCTCTTATCTTAGGTTATATCCTCAAAAACGGATAGAAATCTGAAGTCATGTCTAATAACCTCATTCCAATTCTTCCTAGGTCAACTACCCCTTCCCCACTCCCGTAAGCTTCTCGCAATTTTCCATTGGGGCCTCATTGCTTCACCGCTTCACGAGCCCAAACAACCTTAACCTAGCTTCCCGCAACTTATCCTCTACAGAGGTGAGGCGCCATACCTATCTGTCCCCTGATTCTGAATCTTATCCAACGTAGTCTGCTTACACATTCGCTGCAGCATTGCATCCTAGCCAGTCACATGTAATTAACACAATAGTATTTGCAAAAAACATGCCTCATGGTACCCTAGGATGTATCTTGGCTGCTCATTCACCACCAAGGAGAAAAAAATAATAATTAAGAGTAGACCCTTAATGTAGCCCCATCCCAACCACAATGTAATATGAGTCGCCACTCACAGTTTTCACCCTTGTTTCTATCCTCCGTGTGCTTAATTGCCTTAATATAATGGTTAGGTTTTACTTATAAATTTAGTGTTGGTATAGTGCTGGTATGACATATTTGCTTTGGTTAAATTGTCATTTGTGTTTGATTTGTGATTACATTTGTGCTAATTTTTTGTTTTTAATTTGTATAATTTATGTTTGAATGTTTTTTGTTAATATATGAGTGTATGTGTATGTATTATGCAAAGAGTAAATTCCATAATTGGTCCTTATTACAACAGGGTTTCCATATTTAGTCCTCTTTTATCAAGTATTACTCTCGTAGTCCTTTTATGGGTGCCTTTCCACAAATGGTCTTTTTTTAATCTTTTGCCATATTAGTATTAATTTAAAGACTAAAAGTATAATTTAACATCAACCTTATGTTCTGTGACGTATTCTGATATTGGTTAGACGAATAACACAAATATAATGACTATGATTTTGAGCTAGGATTCCGACGAAAGACCTGTAGACTATGGTTGTAGTAGAAAGCGACTGTAATTCAGAAACGATGCATTGAGAGCAGCCTTAGGAATTGTGTATGACAAGAAAGATATATTATCATTATGAAATTACACTTTTAGCACTCAAATTAACACCAATATGCTAGAAGATAAAAAAAGACTATTTGTAGAAAGATACCCATAAAAGAAGGACCACCGAGGTAATATTTGATAATAGAGGACTAAATAAGGAAACCCCCCTGTTATAAAGGACCAATTATGGACTTTACTCTTATGTAAAACTCTTAAGAACATATTTTACCAAGCTCAAATTTTGTTTTCTTGTTTTCTATTTTCTATTTTCTATGATGTTTTTGTAAGGGCTGGTGTTCTAAATTGTCTTATTTGTTCTTTTATAGGAAAAATCTCAATAGTGACAAAGAGTGTGGTGATGATTAAATTATAATTGTCAAATTGAACAAATTGTTTTTGTAATTAAGTCATTCCAAAAGAAGTACTTGTGTAGTTGCATTTTCTGTTAGAATGAGGTTATTTAACTCTTTTACTCAATCATTGGCAGGTGAATCATAGACATATATCGTCTAAAGTTCATACGTATAGTTGTTATTTTTGTGTTATGTGGCATTGTGTCAATGCAATAAATACACAACAACCATTGTCAGCGCCATGCGCTGTAGTTTGAAGTGCATTATTTTTTTATTGTTTTTAAGACCTTGATGCGTCATGGATTGTGTGTCTGTGTTATTACTTTGGGTTGCTCGTAGTTTATATGAGGTGAAGGGATTCGTTGTTTTCCTAGCATTTTCCTTATATTTTATATAAACAATCATGTGGTACGTGCTCATAGCAAAATAGCAAAAAAAAAAGGATTTATCATTATTATTTACTAATATCAAAAATCTTATTATTTAACTAGATAATTTGGAAAGAGTTATAGCTGAGAAACTATTCCATAGTTCAATACTCTATCTGTCCTAGAGTATTTGTTGAGTTTGACTTTTTTAAGTCATACTCCCTCCGTCCCGCTATATTCGTCCACTTTTGACTTTTGGAACTGTTCATCTAAGCACTTTGACTCATCAAATTCTCTCAATGTGTAAGCCTAAATATAGTCATGCGTGATCTTGTTTGATTTGTCTTAACATATAGATTATTAATATATAATTTCTATAATTTTTTAATATACAAATTTCAAGATAAAATAGATTAAAGAAGTATATTGGATGGTGTGCAAAAATGAAAGTGGACAAATATAGTGGGACGGAGGAAGTATTAGATTAACATTAATTATCAATTACATTAGATTTGTTTTACATATTAAACCAATAAAATAAATTTCTAAAAGTATCTCACAAGATAAATCTAATGAAATTATTTTGTACTAATACACCTTACAATTTTTTTTTTAATTTATGATCAAAGTTTGTCCAATTTGACTAAACAAGGCAAACTAGACGAATACAATGAGACGGAGGTAGTAATTGGCTTTTAGATATATGTTTATCCTATTAGCTTTGGAATTCGCTAAGGGTCTATTGGAAACAACCTCTCCACCCCTCATGGGTAAAGGTAGTTACGAGTAGTTTTTTTACATCCTACCCTTCCAAGACTTCACTTGTGGGATTATACTAGGTTTGTTTAAAGTAATGTTGTACGGAGTATTAGATTTGGTGTTAGGTGATTCTCTATTAGATTTAGGAATCATATAAGTTTTGGATTCAGCTTGTACCCCAGTTTGTATAAGGAATTAAGGATGGTCTTATGAATATACAAACTAGAATTTTATAAATGAGAACTTCGGGACCTTTTAATCTTAGTAAACACAACCCTAGCCAAGGTGGTGGCTCTTTTCCACTAGAACCAACAAGTAATTTCAAAGAACATTAGTTTATGAACTAACATATCCAGGGCAAAAGGGGAGGAGGGGGTAAGGGTGCAGTTTCTTGACCAATGGCACATTTCATTTTTATGATATATCCATTTGCTAAAGTTTTGATAGTTATATATCCACTTCGTGTTTCATGTTTTAATATATGCTTCCTTAAATGTTAAAAAAAGTCCATTTCTATTTGGAATGCATATTATGCTTTTTTTATTGGAACCTGTTCTTAAAATACGGTTATCACTTTTACAAAACAAGCTCTAAATTTGGTATTGTTTTTCTTAGGCAATCACTTGGTGTTGATTTGGTTGAGTTAGACAAGTCCAACCTTCCGGAGAAGACCGATGAAGAGATTTTTCAGCTACAAAAGTGATCACTGTCACAAAACCCCACCTAACCCTAAACACCAAAAGGTTGATATTTCTAAATCTCCTGAATATTTTGAAGCAAACTTCGAAGGTGAGCGAAGAAAACTTCGGTCTTGGTCCAATAAAGTCAATCGTGTACCTAACCATATTGACCAAAAGGATGATGATACCTCTAAATCTCCTGAATCTTTTCAAGCCAACTTCGAAGGAAAGCAAAGGAAACTTCGGTCTTGTTCCAATAAAGTCAATAGCGTACCCAACGATATTGACCAAAACGCTGATGCTACCAGTAAATCTCCTGAATCTTCTAAAGCCGACTTCGAAGGCAAGCAAAGGAAACTACGTTCTTTCCCCAATAAAGTCAATAGTGTACCAAACCATATTGACCAAAAGGCTGAAGATACCTCTAAATCTGCTGAACCTTTTAAAGCCAACTTTGAAGGCAAGCAAAGGAAACTTCGGTCTTGGTCCAATAAAGTCAACACTGTTCCCACAGATGAGCACTCCTCATATGATTGTCGTAAGCAAGTTTTGGACGTTCTACAAAATTTCAAAGACATGTATAACAAACTTTTGGATGAATCCAAAGCAGATCCAAATGGAGGCATATATGCAAAAAGAGGTGTGCCCATGAGAGTTGCATCTCTCCTTCAGAGACAACAAAAATGGATACAAGACAAACCAACCTTTGGAAGTATCCCCGGAGTTGATATTGGCGATACTTTTCAATTTAGGGCAGAACTTATAATTGTGGGACTCCATTTACAATATCTAGCTTGCATAGATTATATAGATTTGAATGGAGAATTCCATGCGACAAGCATTGTGGATTCAGGTCATTCCGAATTTAGCAAGATTAGATCCCTTGACACACTTATTTATGTTTGTCGCGCTTCACATTCTTCTATGAAAAAGGTAGAAGACCAAAAGCTCGAGAAGGATCAACATGCCTTAAAGAACTCCAAGGATGCAAAGCTTCCTATAAGAGTCACATGTCTTCGAAAAACTCTTGGCATGGATGGCCAAGGATACACTTATGTAGGGTTGTACATTGTGAACAACTATAAGCAAGAAAGAAACCAAAGGGGAAAATTAGAGTTCAAGTTTGAACTGTGTAGACTTCCTGGGCAGCAAAACCTTGCTCTCCCGGTGGCTTGGGACTGGGAGGTAGTAGAGCCGACTCAAGGAGACCGTGACACTCACAATGTAGTTGTGGTAGACGATGTATCACAAGGAAAGGAGAAATTTCCCATTCCGGTAATGAACAGTATTGATGCTGAAAAACCTCCTCCTTTTACTTACATAACTAAAATGATAAAACCTTCTTGGATCAAAAGCTCCTTGCCCAAGGGCTGCAATTGCAAAAATGGATGCTCAAATTCGAAGCAATGTTTTTGCACACGTAGAAATGGTGGTGAGGTTCCATACAACAATGTAGGCGCAATACTTAGAGCTAAGCCGATTGTTTACGAATGTGGTCCATCTTGCAAATGCCCTCCTTCATGCAAGAATAGGGTTAGCCAAAATGGTCTACGATATCATTTTGAGGTTTTCAAAACCAAGTCTAGAGGATGGGGTGTTCGCTCACGTGATCATATTTCTTCAGGGAGTTTTATATGTGAATACATTGGAGAACTTCTAGATGAAAAGCAAGCTGAAAAAAGAATCGACCGTGATGAATATCTCTTTGATATAGGTAACTACGATGTAGGGGAGGACATTGATATAGACGAAATTCAAAGAAATGATAGCGAGGGCTTCACGATTGATGCGGCACTGTTTGGGAATGTGGGGAGATTCTTCAACCATAGTTGTTCTCCTAACCTTTATGCACAAAATATTTTGTTTGATCATGATGACAAGAGAGTCCCTCATTTAGTGCTATTTGCCCAAGAGGATATACCTCCTTTTGAAGAGCTAACTTACGACTATAATTACAAGATAGATCAAGTTCGTGATTCCAATGGAAACCTGAAGAAGAAAGACTGCTACTGTGGTGTTCACGAGTGCACTAGAAGAATGTATTAGAAGGAGATTTCTTTCTCCAAGTTCATGCAGTCATTCTCAATTGGATGCTCAGGCTACAAAGTGGAACATTGTTCTGTTTTTGGCCTCATTTTCATTCTTTCTTTCTTTGACCTATTGTTTGGCTTAAATTCCAGATTTCATCTCAATAATTTATATGGGCTTTGTTATTTACAAAATTATGATTTGGAATTAGCCTCTCTATTTTCGAGTAGGGATAAGGTATGCGTACACACACCCTCTTGTGGGATTCTTCTAGATTGTTGTTGTATGTGTCTTACTGTCTTTAGATGGTTTGTCTCCTTGCTTTGTCAATTTGTGATTTTGATTCTCATTTCCAGTTATTCACCACTGTTAGAAACTCTAGTTTTTTGTGCAAGTTCTTAATCTTTTAAACACAGAATTAGTGAACTAAACACCAAGGCAGGTTCTTGATCTTTTAAACAGAACTAGTGAACTAAACACTAGGGGAAAAGGTTGGTACCTAATTGAGAATAGGCATCAAACTTGTAACACAAACTATACACGATCAATCTCAATGATTTGTCCTGTGGTTCAACTTGTGAACCAGTGCATGGCTGAGTCAATGAATGGTCCTAGTTTTAAAACATTGGCTCTAGAGAACTAATTTCCTAAACTTTTCTGCATAAATAGTGGGATATATTTTACTATATATGCGCATTGGTATACTCCGTAGATATATTGTTCCAATAAGCCATTAAGTTTGTCTCTAAATGCAAGTAACTTGCTACATTACATAAGATGAAATTGATAAATTCAAATTAGTCTCATCACAGTAATTTATTTGTTGATTTCATAATTACATCATGAATTTATATTTTTGTATCTACAGGAGGTAGTCCTAGATGTTTGTTTCCTTTTCCATTTGCATATACGTATGTATGCATATGTATATCTTTATTCTGATCTCTTTTTAAGAGGCCATGTGTTGGTGAAGCAGATATGGAGTTTAGACCCTAAGATGTACTTGATATTTATATCATGGTAGAAATGCAATAGTAATAATAATAGTAATAATAATAATAAAGTAATGATAAATCAATAATGGTTTGTTTTGGATTGAGGGAAATTAGATGAAGAGGGTTGTAATGGAGGGGGTTCACTCATCTTTTCTGTTATTAACTAGAGATTAAGTCCTCCATAGTTGCAGCAGAGGGTTACAGACATTTTTTACATAAGAATATCACAGTATTTGCTAGGCAGTTTTCAAAGAAATCTTCAGAAGTCACAATTTCAATTGAGAGGATATATATTAAAGCATAGTGTTCTTGTTTTACCATTTTAATGTTATTGTTTTGTGTAATGCCTGTAGAAATTTTTTTAGAGAACAAGTGCTGTTTTAGGTTTTTATGGCTTCATCACTGGAATACGAACCGGATGTGTGACAATTTAGTCATTGAGATTTTGAGTAGCTTCTTGTGGAAGGTTTGGATTGCTGGAATACGAAGTTTCACTAAAGTTTCAAATAAACTTTTAATTCAACTTAGATTATGCTTGCACATTTGCTATATATAAGTGTGTTGTTGCCTTGTTGGTAGCTGGTACATATTTTGTAAACCAATTTATTTCATTGGAATGCTGCATAAAAATGTATATTAACATTAGCATAACGTACACTAGACGAATAAATATTACAAATATTTCACTTTAGACACTTTCATCTGCACCTAGTGCTCACGTACATTTGAAAAGAGGATTCTAAAAGAGCTATAGTTTAGTTGTCGCTAAGCATATCTTCCTATAAAAGGACATGATTTACCATGTTCGGATCACCCGAATACTAATTGTGCTCACGGTGAAACAATAATGATGCCAGCAGTTCGTTTGAAAGCTTGTTGATCTATTGTAACACTGTTAAACTGCTGGACTGCAGGAATCTTTCTAATTGCAGTTCACAACTGCCTTTGTAAAGCACATCTTTCCAGCTGATCTAAGAACACTTTCTGGTGAGATTCATATGTTATACGTTCTTACATATCGTTTCCAGCTGTCCTACAAATTTTGCCCAATTCCATACATAAATCCTAATATATTATTATGGTAACAGAAAATTTCAATTTATGTGTGTACATCATATTCTTTGGCTCTCCACATTCCAGGAATTTAGGCTGGCCATAAAAAGAATCACCAAAATAAAAGTAGTAACTAATGGTGCTTAGTGCTTACATGTTACCATCACAAAACAAACACAACACAGTTTCTTTAGCCTGTGATCAGACCCATATTTGATAGTCCTTTCTTATCTTGGGTCTGGCTTAATTTTAATCTTTCTGAATCTGACCCTGAATACAGAATTTTGGGTATTATCCATTAAAAAAATGGGTTGGAGTTTCACCCAAATGATGCCCAACCCTAAGTCCCTAACCCTTAATCTTAATCTTTCTGAAGGTGGCCCTGAATACAAATTTTTGGGTATTACCCATAAAAAAATCAAGTCGGAGTTTCACCCAAATGATTCCCGCCCCTAACTATATTAGTCTTCCAGTTATATGAACGAGTTGTGTGATGGATTTGGCTTTCATGCCATGATTGTATTAGTATAGCTTTTGTTTGTTGAAAAAAAACACTATTTTTGGTCATCTACTTGTAGGATTGCGATGTGTGATGGATTTGTCTTTTATACCACGATTCTATGAGCTGTTTGGTAACCTCTCCTTGTTCATCTCTCTTTTTCTTATCTTCTCTTTTTTTATAACAAATCGCATCTCCATACCAGAAGAGTTAACTTAAAATCCCTGATGTTACATGTACGTGGTATGTGGCCAGCAGGCCAACTGCATGATTAGTTTTTTGTTGGATTATATATTTAGAATGGAATAACATGATTTCAAGGCCCAATAATAAATTGGCCTGAAGGGCCCAACCCATCCAGCATTGTCAGTCAATTGTGCAAGGAGATTCACCAAGTCGACCAGGCAAGAGAATGAAAACGAGTATGATGCACAGAATGATACAAACAACAGGGGGATGTCCTCGCCTCACTAGATTCTCTTTTCACGCCCCTAAGATGGTATGGATGAGCACACTATGTTTTTATGTCATGTTTTAAAGTTGTTTCAAGTTTTTTTTTCATTTGCAGTATTTTAATTGCTCTTTTCCAATGCTTAGTTTAATTGGGAGTCTTAAAAGTTCTAAACTTTGCTAATTCCCTGGATCTTTGGACTTAATCATGTGGATGATTAAGTGCAAGAAATTTGAAATTCAGCTTTGTTAGACCTGAGATACCTTATAATGTCTTTTTTTTTACTATTTGGAGAAAAAGAGATTTTTATCATATTTACTAGCAAGAACTGTGCAATTTATAATTCAAAAAAAGAACGAGTGAAATGAAAGATAATTCTTGCTCGCGGGATTGCTGGTTGCTGTGCTTGTATGGAATCACATTAACTCGTCAGCTTAACTCTAAGTTTAGTATGAATTTATCACTAGTGAAATTTTACCAGTTTGAAATATGTGGCCGGTGTCATTATCAGTTTTTCCTATTTAATGAATCAAAACACTCCATCTGTCCTATCTTAATTTGTAACCTATTTTCTAAGAACCTTTTTTATAATTTGATGAATTTGGTGATGTAATTTTATAGGACAACAACGACCTAGTATAATCCCAACTAGGTTGAGGTCTGGGAGGTCAAGATAAACAGTCTTACCCCTGTAAAAATAGAGAAGTTGTTTCCGTTAGACCCTAGATGCATTGTTACATTTACTACCCAAAACTTCATAGGAAGTACTGTAAAAATCAACGAAAGTTTAATGTGTCATTTGGATTTAGTTCATTATGTGCCCGAAGCTAAAATATTGTCAACAATGACACTTTTAACTTCATTGTCAATGGACGGAGATGTGTATTTTATAGTACCTTCCATAATTCTTTTGGAACTATAGTATAAGTTTTACGTACTAATACTGAATGGTCGAAACTTAGATTATGAATATCTTGTCTTGCATCACTACATGAGTAGGCCATCCATTTTTTTGTTCTAGAGACTAGGAAGCAACTGTGTTTACACCATTAATATGCTAATGTTTTTTTCCTTGAATTAAAGCCCATTTATTTATTTATACATTGATATTGACTTGAATCCTGAAATCCCAGGTAGAGGTGGAATTCAACAATGGCAGTCTGTACCATTTGTCAGCCGAATATCTGAGAATATATAGCCCTGCTGCTGATAGTAAGATCCGTTCAGTTGGCGGTGAAAAGGTAATACTCCAAATAAAGAGGCTGCACAACTTTTATTTCACTCTCCATTAATGTTTACCCTTACAAAGGTTGTCCAGAAACCAGAGTGAATGAAGAATGTTACATACACACACTAAGGTTGTTTTTTTTTTTTGGTTTTTGCTGAACCATGATGGTGTTGGGGGTGGGGTTCAGGTGATATCGGGAAGGCGTTACGTTGGGATGATGTCAGCAGAAGCAGTTGGGAACTACGGTGTGAGGTTGGTATTCGACGACATGCACAAGACGGGTATCTTTACATGGGATTACTTGTACCATCTTGGGAGCAACAAGTTCCCCCTCATGAGAAATTACATCAATACCCTCAAGAGGCATGGACTGACTCGGGATCCTCCACCTCCAAGAAGAAAGTGACAATAAGTAAGATCCCACACATTTGGCTCTCATATACTTCATAAGTTTCCAAGTCGTTTTCTAAGGCAATCATAAGACCAATGTTAACAGCGTCCCTACTTTCGGGAACGGATAAGATCTGCGTACACACAGTCTTCAGACCTTACTTTTTTTTTGAAATTTTACTAGGTTTGTTGTAATACGACTAATAAAGAAATTAAAATGACCAATGGTTATTTTTTCCCCCTTGGCATCTTCCATATTGATCTTGTTCAACTAGAAAATGTGGAGCATAAAGTTTAAAAAAAATCAACTTTACATAATACGGAGTACAAGTATTAAATAAAAACAAAAAATGTTTGGTTCACAAACACAATGATCACAAACTTACTATTTGTGAACTTTAATATTAAAAAATAAGTAGTCTAAAATAATTTTAAAATGATAATTTAAATCATAAATTGTAACTTTGTGAAGTTTGTATCCGTCATATTTGTGAACCTTGCATTGTTAAATAAAAACAATTGAATAGAAAAAGGGCTTGGTTCTTTATGTCTTGATTTTAAGTGAAGTCTTTATTGTGGATATGGTTTTTTTAGTGCTATTTAGTCTATTACAATATAATGTTTGATCATATTTTTTTTAATTTAATGACGCACGAAGAGCCAATGCATCTGGCTCTAATTAGACTCCTGGGTGAACTCCACATATTCCGAAGAAGTGATGGATGAGTTTCCTACCACTCAAGTTAGGGGAGAAGTTCATAGTGGATTTGGTTTTAATTTTAAATTTTTAACTAAATTGTGGAGTTTAGGGTCTAGTATTTGGAACCTGGAGACCTTAAAATAAAAAATAAAAATAAAAATATAGTCGTTTGGGACAGTGGTTTGGGAATTGGGAATTTGGGATGTTCATTCCAACCAATAATCGCACAATTTAAGGTGAATATTAAGAGTGTTATCTCCCTCAAATAGGGAGTACCCAGTAGTTTTTCTAAAAATTATCTCAAAGTTATATATTTACTTTTTTACATTAACATGTTTTTTCCATAACACATACCCATGTCTTATAAAACAGTTTTACCCTACATTTTTGGGAAAAATTGTGGTCATTATAACTTTTTTCTCCTCACTATTTTTTAATGTTTTTGGTTTTGAACAAAATAATTGTAACTAATTTCTATTTTCATAAAATAATTGTTATTCATTATATGCATCTGATTTTAATTAGAGAAATTAACTTAGGTGTTTTGGAAGTGAGCATGAGATTTCCAACCCAAGAAAAGAGTTAAAATTATTTCTCAGACTTTCTCAAAACTCCCGTTGCATGCCCTTAGCGAATCATTTCACTTTGGTCACAAAATCTTTATCAAAAACCAAGCATTTTTATGGGTCATGTTAAAAAAAACCATGTTGAATAAATCTTTATCATGTAATTCATTTTTACGGAGCGAATATGGAGTACAATCTCCGTCTATTAATTTTTTTTCACTTTTTTTTGAGTCGTCTAATTTTTTTTTTATTTTCTTTTTGGCAAAAAGTTTTTAATGTATGTGTCAAGGATAATGCATAGAAAATCTTTGTACTCAATATTTTTTACTACGTATCATTTTTTTACCAAGTTAAGGGAAAGAAATTTTTGAACCTCGATTACTATTTACTTGAAAAAATCAATTAGTTCGGAAATGGAGATCCAAAAGGGGTCTGTTTTGAATGCCCGATGAATCTTCTCCAAAAGATTCCATTTTTTTTTTCTTTTTAAAATTTTAAATTCTCCATCATTGTGTATCCGAAGATCACTGGGTTTTTAGATACTGAAAACGGAAAAGGAGCCGGCGGCAGCCATGGCAGCCGAAAAGCTTAAAGATTTGGCGCAATCAACTCAAGACTTCTTCGCTTCCCACATTCTTAACTGGAGCCCGACTTCCGACCGCCGCCGCAGCCCGGTAATTATCCTTTTTCATATTTTCTTTGAATTTCAATTTCTATTTTCCGAGTTTGTTCTTTTTATGCCTAAAAAAATCGTTTTGCGATATTAGGGTTAGGGTTTGTTTTGAATTTGCGCTTCTGGAAGCTGGGTTTAGGTAGAGAAGAGGGACAAATAATACCTGGATTGTTAAGAAAAGTGAAATTATGTGCTTAAACTTTGTGTAGAGAAGAGAGACAAATAATATGAATCTTCTAATTGTAATTCCTTCTTTAAAAGGCAAGAAGAACCTTATTTTGTGACAAACCAGGAAAAAAAAGTGGAATTTTTTTTTGTTAATTGGGGTCTAGTATTTCCTTTATACAATAAGACATTTTCAATGTGAAGTTTTTTTTTTGGTAATTGAGCAAGTGCATCAACTTCAACAATTTCATCCAAATTTGCATTTACTAATCAGCCTCTGAAGTGGACTGCAATGGGTGGGTATCTTTATAGCATCAAGCTGTATGACAGAGCTTCATTTTTTTTCTACAACTATTTTTCAATTGATATATCCTTTTTCAGATCGAAATCCTGAAGAGACTACAGAGGGAAGCATTTTCAGATTTAATGAAGCTGAGGGAGAGACAAGAGAAGGCGGAACGCGTGCTTTCCTTCTACAAAACTGCCAAAGTGGGCCCATTCCAAGAAGGCGTCACCCGGGTGAAGGGAGAGATTGACGTGCTGGGTGCGTTGGTGATGACGAACGCCGTTGATCAAGAAACATGTGATGCTATTCAGAGGACTGGAATTAAGAGTGGGGTTGAATCCAGGCTCTGGTTTGAAACAAACATTGGAGATAGAGATAGGCTTGTGACAGAGTTTGTTGGTGGCCAGAGAGGCAGCCATGAAGATGTGTTGGGAACTCCACTTTCTCTTGCTAAAGTTCTTTACTCTGCAAATGTGAGCAAATGGCTTTCTGCTTTTGCGATCCCAGTGGGTGCTCAGTGTCGGGATTTCGGGGTTGGAACTGCTCTTCCCCAAGTAAGTATTATTCCCTACTTCCGATATCTTTTTTGACATAGCACGGTTTTTACTGAAAGAGGAATGTTACAGTATAAAAAACTTTTTCTTGGGCCACAACCACAAGCTTGAGCTTTCGGTTGAATTGGTTCCTTGACATGGTATTAGAGCTTTGTTGACCCAGAAGTCATAGGTTCAAAACTCACAGCCACCCAATTTTTTTTAAAGAATTAAAGTTTCACATGCAAGGCTCAAAACAACCACGCCTGCACGTGAGGAGCGTGTTAGAATATAAAAACTTTTCATGAGCCTACAACAAAAAGCTTGAGCTCTTGGTTGAGTTGGTTCTTTGACAAGGAAAACATGTTTGACTTCTCAATTTTGCCCTTGGTGTAGCAAATTCAAACAAAAGATATTTAAAAAAGGGTGTATACAGCAAAAGTAAGAGTAAAATTTTCTTTCGCTTTAAATTTATTATATTAACATGGATTCTTACATATTTCATTCTCTTTTTGAATTTTTCCAAAGTAAAACCAAACATACAAAAACAACTTTTCTCTGCAAAATTTTCCCTTCGCCTAGCATTTTCCAAGATCTGAGAGTGGATGGTCTCTTGGAAACCGTCTTTCTGCTTCATTGTAGGGATAAGGTCTACGTACACACACAATCCCCCAAACCCTACTTTTGTGGGATTTTACTGGGTTTGTTGTCTAGCATTTTCCAAGATTCAAGCTTTTTCCCTGAGTGACATTGTGGGGAAGAAGTAGTCATTGTCTGTCTAATTTTGCAGGAGAAGGCCCTTACGGATTATTCAGCTATAGGGCCACCCTTGTTGAACCATCTAAATGGTAGTGCCATCGGCATCGTGGCAAGGAAATCAAATCTTGTTGCCTCGTTGGCTCAATTCGCCTCAGTCATAGGATCACCACCACAGCCACCACAGCCAACCTCCCCTAACACTCTCTGTTCTTTCAGCACTTTCGCTCAAGTCGCTTACCAACTTTCCACAAGCACAAAGCTGAGCCTTTTGGGCATACGAAAAGGGGCGAAATTGTCAAACCAGCAAACTGCTAGACTTGGTCCCATGACTTTCCCCATTGGCATTTTCGCGCGACACGATCGCTCTTCTTTGGAGGAAGAAGAAGAAGAAGGTGGTGACATGGACGGATCAATGGCTTTGATGATCGAGTCGCAGCTCGACGAGAGTACGAGAATAGGAGGCTGGCTTGAGATGAAGGGGAAATTGCAAGCCAGAAATGTGAAATGGGCTGTTACCATGGCAGATACCCCTGAGGATGGGTTGGGGTGGGGTTTGAGCTTGGGCGGGTCGGTCCGAGATCCGAGAAGCCCGGAGCATTTTCAGGTGGAAGCTTTCCTTAACTGTAACTTGGGGAAGAGGTGTAGAATTCAGCCTGCTGTTCTTTACATGAGGGATGGGGCTATCCAGTTCCCCACTCTTATGCTTCGTTCTAGCTTTAGCCTCTAGTGTTATATATATATATATATATATACTCCATCCGTCTCATAAAAATCTTACTTTTTTTATTTTCACGGAAATTAGGAAAAATGTTGAAAAGTAAATTTTATTGTTTGAATTTGTTTCGCAAGAAGAGAAGAGTTTTGATCTTGCTTTTGTATCATACTAATGTGATTGTCTACTCACAGTGTTGATGGGTAATTTGCATTCAATTTCATTTTGATTCATTCATTTAATTACCCTACAAAAATCTGCATATTGTGGATGGGAGTAGATTTGCATGGGGAGGAAAGAGTAGTTTTTCACTTTGGACAAAAGTATTTGGATATTCCCACTTTGGGTCAACATGAAATTTTCAATTTGAGGTGCAACAATCATGTGATTGTCAATTTTGGTTTTTTCAAACAAGGAACTTGTTTGCCAAAATGTGGCACGGTATATTGATATTTTACAGTGTTATTAGTATTATATGTTGACATTATTAACACTGTAACTTCTACTTTAGTAATAAAAATATGGAATTTTCATTTTAGTATTTTTTCTATATTTTACATCTATTTTAGTCTTTTTCAATTAAAAAACTTCCCAATAGCTCTAACCAAGTTTGATTTCTCAAATTTTTAAAATATTTTTACTTTTGAAATTATGAAGAAATAAAATATAAAACAATAACGGAAAATTTTCCTGTGATCCTAAAATCCGCACTAATTTTATGGACTTTAGTATATAAACACCATGGATGAATTTGGTTCTTTGAAAAAATAAAAGATTCACATGTCGGTTCACTAAAAGAGTGTCATAAGGTTCATATTCCGAATGTGGATGTTATCATCAAATATTACAACTCAAAGATAAAAACTTTGATACCAAAATGATTGGTTTCATAGAGTCGTTTAAAAAAATAATTGGTTCCATGAAGTCCATCATGATAAAATTTACTCCCTACTAAATTTGTGCACATGTTGCATTGTATGCCGAACATCCCAACATTCTTTGAAAATTTACACCAGCCCGCATGGGTAGTTCAACTAGTCTAAGAAGAGTGTCTCAAACCCATTGATCCTAAGATTGAATCCAGGTAACAGCAGCATGAAAATTCTATTATTTGTAATAGCTCCTTATGTGCATCGGGTACGGGGCAGTCTCTCTAAGAATCAGATTGAGATTATACCATGATTTACCCTCCTCACAATCCTGTCGGGTCGGGGGGTGTGGGGGCGCTCGCGGTGCGCGTTCCACATTTTTTTGAAAATTTACACCATTTTGGCAGTTCCCTTCAATAATGCATGCTGAGTTAAGCTACTTATACACCAAAAAGTGTGCACCACAAGTCTCCAGTTTTACTTTTTGCAGTGTGATGGTAGGGTGATTCATAAGTATACTAAATGTTAGTACGAAATTCTTTCATCACGCTAGTATTTTCTGTCAATGTGAACTATCAAAATGTTAGTATATATTTGTATTATACTCCGTATAATTTGAGATATATTCTTTGGTGTACTCCTATCATGATTGATGTTTAAGTGAGCCACTTGATCACATGGAGGCTAAAGCTAGATCGAAGCATAAGAGTGGGGAACTAGATAGCCCTATCCCTCATGTAAAGAACAGCATGCTGAATTCTACACCTATTTTTGCTTTGATATATTGTGTGTGCCAATCTTTCCCCACTCTTTTGAGTGGCTCACAATCTTTGGTTCACAATCTTTACCTATCCATTCACAAGAATGATATATCCTTTGGTGTAAAAAAGAAAATTGCTTGGAGAATTTAGAGTACCCCAAATGTACACCAAAGCAAATATAGGTACACATAGACTATCATTTTTGTGATCAAATGTATTGCTTAAAGTGATAGAGAGGAGAAGTAAAGATTGTGAGCCACTCAAAATTTTCTATAAAAAGATAGATAAGTCTTTTTTTTTGAATTTTCTAAAAGAATGAGTGTTTTTTTGGGACGAAGAGAGTGCTAGTCTAGTGACAATTTTGTTCCCTTTTATATACGGAGTATATTTTGTTTATAATACTTCTCACCTTTCCTCATGTCATTACAAAAGTATCTACTGTTGCATCTTATATACTCCTTATAAATTTACGGGAAAAAGACTAAAGTAAGATTAAAACATTAAAAATATGTCAAAATTAGAGTTTCATTTTTTCTAAAATAGGAGTTAAAATGCATTTACATTACCATGACCATATACATTACCAAAAAGTATTGTAAACTGCTCATATACAGTGACACATTACCACAGTGCGGATTCTTATTTAGGAAATAAAAATATAGAACTTTTATTTTTAGTACTTTCTCTATATTTTACTTCTATTTGGGGTAATTTTTTTTAGTTTACTTTTAAAATTAATTCTTTTTACAATAAAATTAATATTTTTTAAAACTGCAAATACAATAAAAAACCGAATCTTGAACCGCAATAAATCAATCCCAATAATCCATGATTTATATTTTTATTACTCCCTCCGTCCCTAAATAGATTACAATCTTTTTTCTCTCTCCTCTCGATAACTTTTTTTTATTTACGCGATTTCATCAAGCATTTGATAAAATAAAATATTCTTGTCGCCTCTTGTTTTGTAGAAATTTTGACGTAGTTTTTTAATATGTAATTTTTATAACTTATTGATATACCAATATGTAAATAAAATGATTTCAAAAAGTAAAAAATTTTACTCCGTAACCCGCAATTTGTAATCAAATTGGGGACGGAGGGAGTATATAAAACCGAACAACGATCCATTTTGTCTTTAGTTCTTTGGATAACATCCATACCCATAAAATCAAACCCAACCCTACTAGTACCTCCATGGATAAGGTTCATGGTCAATATAAGTTCATTAAAAGAAAAAGACAAGGAAAGAGTAGAAAAAAGAAGACAAAAATTAGAATGTCTTTTTTTAAAATCACTCTCTCTTGTAGCCTCCTAGGCCACCTTGGCTTTCCTCACATTTTACCCTCTCAATAAAGTTGATCTTGGCAAAGATGAAAATTTTAATATTCTCTGGTCCTAACACTATCTTTTAATTCACTATTCACAAAATTAAATTTTATCTCTTGTAAACATTACCTAATAAAATTATATATAATCATGTCACCTCTAATTTTTAAATGATTTTATGTTATTTTCTAATATATAAATCATATTTTTAGATTTCACAATAGGTTTCCAGTAAATTGATAAGAAAATAAATTAAGATATCACCATAAATAGAAATAAAACATAGAGAAAGTAGTAAAGTAGGAGTTTCATGTTTTTATTCTCTAAATGGGAGCTCACACTGCGGTAATGTGGCACATACTTTGGCATTTTACTACACTTTTTGATAATATACATGGTCATGATTGGTAATATAACTACATTTTAAATCTTATTTCGTGAATAAAAACATGGAATTCCCATTTTGATATATTTTTAATGTTTTACTTCTACTTTAATCTTTTTCCCAAATAACTCTAATCAAACATCGTAAACACCAATGAGAAGTTAGTTTTAGGGTGAAGGGACTACAAATAAGATTAGAAACAAAAGTTGATAATTTTGAAATTTATTACCTCCGTCTTTGGTGGGGCTCATAGAGAATCATGTGGGCATCGGCTTGGTTGCTCGGGACCATGATGGATGCTTCGTTGCAGCAAAAAGTATCAAGTATAGAGGAAGTTGTGGTCCTCGGGAAGCAGAGGCCATCACATAGAAGGAGGCTCGCAGATGGATTAAAGCTAAAGGTTGGACTCGTGTTATAATTGGGTCACACTCTAAAGAGTTCATCGATCAGCTAAGCTTACCTGTTATATTATGACTCTATTATCGATGATTGTAAAAGTTTACGTACAATACGTGGAGTGGCACATACTTTAGCACGTGCTACTCATTCAATGTCACGTCGGGTATAAGGGAGTCACCCTAGGTTTCATTGTAAACTTTCTTTAATTTAATGCAGTGAATGTCTTTTACACAAAAAAAAAAGAGAAATTTGTCGAGAATAGTACTAAAACTCATTGATATCCCCAATTTGGTACCACTTTTCGTTTATTCTTTTTATAGTACTAATTTTATCACAGAATGCCTATTTTAACCTCTCATGATGTCATTCAATCGCTCAGTCCCACGTTTGTAACTTTGTATTCTCTCTTATTCTTTTCTTCTCGATTGTATTCATTCTTTCTTTTTAATTTATTATTTTTCGTTTTCTTCCTCTTCTTGTACTCCATAACCCTAAGCGCAACCATGCCCCACGTGCCGCCGTTGGCCATCGCAACAGCCCTTCACACCCGACACAACCATGTGCACCCCTGCCCCATGCCGTCGGCGGCCATCGTTACATCTCCACCGTTGTCTAATTTCTTTCATTTTTTAAGAATTTTTATTTATTCATGCTTGCATTGCTGCAAGGACATTAAAATCTGTATACAATGACATTACATAATGTGACATTGTTCATTACAAGTAGGCATTGATTGAGACGAAGCAGGCATTAAATTGTCACTAGACATTAAATTGTCATAATGAACGAATGGATATTAGAGTAAGAAAGTGAGGAAGACATTATTAGTGACAAGGAAGGGCATTAAAGTCACAAAAATATTACTCTCTAAAATTATGGTGGACGGAGTAACATGACCATAATTGTAATAAAAGGATAACACATTAATTAATTACTCCGTACATATCATATTTTATCTCATTTTGTCCCAATGTCTTTCATTTTTTAAAAATTTGCTTTTATTCGCTCGCATTGTCGCAAAGACATTGAACTTCATATACAATGACATTAAATATTGTGAACAATGTGTGTTACATGTAGACATTGATTAAAAGTAAATGAAATTAAATTGACATAATGTAAGTGGACATTGTTGTCACAATGAATGGATGGACACTAAAGTAAAAAAGTGTAAAAGAATAAGAAGATATTATTAGAGACAAGGACATTTTTTTGAGGCATTGACATTAAAATCGCAAAGATATAAAAAAAAATGGCATTTTGAAATTTTCAATTTAAAAAAATGCATGCCAATCATGAACTTGACTGCAGGTGCCGTTATTTGCTCCCTCCGTATGTCCTTAATGATGAGCTAGTGCGAGACTGCGAGTAGTGCATGCGCTAGAGGAAGGACAAGGGCATATTAGTCCTTCCGATGGTAAGAGAGGTTTAAACAAGGTTTTAGATAGTACTAGTCCTATTTTGGGAAACTGTTATTGTTTTAGTACCATTTAAGGAAAAATCTCAAAAAAAAAACATGTGTAGGAAAGGCCTTCCTTCAATTCCCTGTTTTGGACTTTACTGCCGGAGTTTGGGGCCCAAGGGGCGAGGTAATTATTTTGTGCAAAAAAAATAGTACGTGCTCCATATAATATGGACCATGCAATACTTACACCAAAAATTATACTTCAAACTTACACCAAAGGGATATACCAACATTTTGATGATTCATATTGACACAAAGTGTTGGTGTGTTAACAAAAATTTACACTGACACAAAGTACTGGTGCGTTAACAAAAATTAGCATTACATCAACATAAAGTGTTGGTGCACACCTGCGGTGTACAAATGGGGTACAAACTCTTGCGGTACAAATAGCTTTATCCATATAATATACCTCCCAACCATGCCACGGGTACACCAAAAGTTACCTCAAAATGAACTCCAAAGAAATGCACCGACATTTTAACGATTCACACGGACAGAAAATGTTATTTCATTTAAAGGAATTTTCTCCGACATATTTTGTCAATGTAAATCATCACACTAACATTACACTAGAACAAGATATTGATGCATGCCTCTGGGGTACAAAATGAGGTAGAAATGTTATAGTACAAATAGCTTAATCCTATACCTCCACCACAGATATTTACCCCGGAGTATCACAGTTTATATATCAACTTCACCATTTTCACCTTTGTATGGAGAATTCAATGTCTGAGCAGAGTTTATACATAGATTGCGAGGAGGAAGAAGATGAATATGGATGTTACTTATCCGATGAGAATGGTGAAAAGCAGAGTAAAATGCAGCCCAATTCAACTAGCAATGCATGGCCTCAAACTTACAGGTTCAAATTAATTAAATCCTCTCCCTCCTATTTTTTTTTCTTTTTACTGTTACGTCTTCTCGATAATTTTTATCTGTTTGTGTGTTTTCATCAATTATTCGATAAAATAAAAAATTGATGTCACATCTTGTTTTGTGAAACTTTTGATATATTTTTGAACAATGCAATTTATACTATTTATTTTTGTACCAATTTGTTATTGAAATGATTTTAAAAATAATGATATTTTGCACGTTGTTCGGAGAGGTTATTATAAATGATTTTACTCACTTATTGTAAATGCCACATCCTAACCCCCCCTTTCCAACCCCGGTCCCCAATCCAAGATCCCAATTTCTAAGATGTCACCTAATCTGGAGGGTTCAATTAGAGTGGGGTTGATAGGGGGGCAGGATAAGGTGGAGCATTTAAAAACCAACTTGAAATTGAACAAAACATCTTAGACTGTTTCAGTAATCTCATTTTATATAAAGGTCTTCTGTGTTTGACTTTCATATAATTAAAGTTTATGAAAATTCTTAAAAAGTAAAACTAAAAAAATAAAATTAGAATTATTTTTCACAAAGCTAAAGAAAAAGGGAAATAATGATTTTTTTTTTGTGTGACAAGAATTGTCCTTTCGATTAAGATTAGAAAAATGTCAAATGTACTCCAATTTTTGAGAAATGCTAAAGTCACAAACATTTTGATCACAAAATACACAACATTGCTATTTGTGTACCTCACCAAATGAATTAAATAATGTAAAATAATTAAAAAGTAAGGTAGGATTGTGTACTCTGTGATCAAACTGTTTGTGACTCTAGCACTTCTCCCAATTTTTACCTCAATTTTAACCCTACATTATTACAGACATTCACAAACACCCGACTCTTAATGTTTGCAAGAAGTGTCTTGTGAAAAGGGGTGTCAAAATCGCAACCCCCTTAAATACAAACTCTTAAGATTAATTTTTTTTTTAAAAATAATTGCTTTCTTTGGCTTACTATTTTTTTGGAGAATTAGTTAGTTTCATGCAAATAAAGATACAAAAAAATTTGTACTTGGCACAGGGAATCTATTGATGTGTACAGTAGTCTACACTCTCCAAGTGTAGACTTTGTTGAGAAACCAAGTTTGGGCAGCTTCTTGCCACCACAAGATGATGAGGAGAAACAGATCTTGCCCACACTGCATAAACCACTCTTGCCACCACAAGAAGATGAGGAGAAACAAAGACAAAGTTCCTTTGCCCAAACAGTCCTAAATGGTATCCTTTTTTACTATAACCACATTTAAGTTTTGTTGGATGAATTTTTTCTTCAGAGTGTGTCATTCTATAAAGCTAAGGCAATGTTAATGTATCTTCTTGTTTGGAAACAGGCATTAATGTTTTGTGTGGAGTAGGGATCCTTTCTACTCCTTATGCTGTGAGACAGGGTGGTTGGGTTGGGCTTTCTGTATTGTTTTTCTATGCTCTTCTTTCGTTCTACACCGGGATTCTTCTGCGTCGCTGTTTAGACAGCCAGCCGGGGCTCCAGACATATCCTGATATCGGGCACGCCGCGTTTGGTTCAGCTGGACGGGCTGTCATTTCTGTAAGTTTTTCTTCTTCTTCTTAATCTGGAAATTTATTTAGAGTATATCTTGCACTGATTCCATTGTTTTTGCTTGGGTGCAGGTTACTTTGTGTGTTGAATTATATGTAAGCATGGATGCCTAATTACCCATTCAAGTCTTGAACAGCTTTCGATTCGTAAGTTTCAAGTAGAATTAGCATGTGTTATGGTACGATAATCTATGGGTTTTGTCTTGCAGGTAAGTTGTATTGAGTATATTATTCTGGAAGCCGATAACTTGTCGTCTCTATTTCCAAATGCACATTTGAGTTTGGGAGGATTACATTTGGATGCCCACCATCTGTTTGCACTAATTGCGACCCTGACTGTTCTTCCCACAACCTGGCTGCGCGACCTCAGTGTTCTCAGCTATTTATCAGGTGCGCGGGAAAGACTTGTGTTGATTTGTGGGTCAGTCTACAACCCCGTGTGGGGCCGTCTACTGATGGATAATGAAAAAAACAAATTAAACCTCTTTATGCATGTGCTTATTCTAAAGTTCATTCCTTTTTGTTTCTTCAGCTGGAGGAGTTATTGCATCTCTAACCGTTGTTGCTTCCTTGTATTGGGTTGGTTTGGTCAATCACGTTGGGTTCGAAAGCAAAGAGACCACATTGAATCTGTCCACTCTTCCCGTGGCAGTTGGTCTCTATGGTTATTGTTACTCGGGTCATGCTGTGTTTCCCAGCATATACACATCAATGCAGAAGCGTAACCAATTCCCTGCAGTCCTCCTAACCAGGTACGTATATACTTCCACATCGACTAAATACAAATGAAAGCAAACGTAGTGTTTTCGAGTTTGCGCAACACATATTCTTTAACACTCGTACGTGTTGAAAGCAGCTTTGGGATAGTTACTTTGATGTATGGTGGAGTGGCTGTGATGGGATATAAGATGTTTGGAGATTGCGCAGAGTCACAGTTCACTCTAAACATGCCGAAAGAATTGGTCGCCTCAAAAATTGCAGTGTGGACAACGGTTGTCAATCCGCTGACAAAGTATGCATTGGTGATGGCTCCCGTGGCATTGAGTCTTGAGGAACTGTTACCCTCCTCGGGCAAAGTCAAGTCTCGGGTCTATTCGATCCTCATCAGGACAGCTTTGGTCATATCTTCCTTGGTTTTCGGTCTCTTGATACCTTTCTTTGGTATGTTTTCTTCCTTCTTCTTTATCTACCCATATATTACTTCTACCTCATTATTCAACATTTTGTGCATCATTTTCATCACAACAGGTCTCGTGATGGCGTTTATCGGATCATTCCTCACGATGCTAGTTGTGAGTCGCCTAGTCCTACCCGTTTTCACTCATGACTTTTGCTTCGCTATTAAATCACTATATATTGATTGATTTGATACCTCTCTCACTCTCGCTCACTTTCTCTCCGTGCAGATGCTAATATTTCCGTGTGCATGCTACCTAAGTATATTGAGGGGGAAACTAAGCTACATTCAGGTGTAGAGAATCTCTCTAGACTCCCATTTAATTTCCTCTTAGTGAATCATAAAAATAACAAAATAGCTAGGACCCATTATTGATCACAACACACACACACACATATATAGTTTAACCTCAAGATTTAATTTACTCATTCCACTTTGCTAATATATATTATTTGATTGTGTTTAATTACAGGGAGGAGCTTGTGTATTGGTGATGGTAGCAGGTGTGGTTTCATCATCTTTTGGAACATATTCAGCCATTTCTCAGATTGCTCAGAATCTCTCTGGTTAAGCACTCTGGTTTATCACTGTTAAACTCTGCTTATGACTTATGAGCAAAATAATAAATAATGGACATGATGTATGCCTATTACAAATTGTTGTTTTTGGCATTACTATAATTTGTATTATCCATTACTTTAATAATTTTGATATAATGTGATATGATACTTAATTAGTGTTATGAGTATCAGAGATGATGGTAGCAAACATGAAATTAAAATCTTTTTGTGATACCATTGAATAATAATAATAATACCTCCGTCTTTAAGCATTTGTCGAGTTTTGATTTTTTCAATCAAACATTTTCAATCTTTGACCTCTAATTAAATAAAATATATATTTTATATTAATTAGAAAAAATAATATTCTGAAAATATTTTTTATAATAGATCTAATGAGGCATTTCCATGTGATAAACAATAAGAACAACCAGTAATTATATCTCATGATTCCACGAAATATAGTCTCGGGAGAGTGTGTGTACGGAGACTTTGTTCCCACTCGAAAGTAAATAATGTACTTTCAAGAGACTTCGGCTCAAGCGGCACAGATAATATAAGATCACAAAGGCACATAAAGCAGAGAAAACATAAAGCATAAAGATGCAAAGAACAAACTAATGTTAAGAAATGAAAAGTACTACAAATAGAGAATACAAGAATTCAAAACAAACAAAGCATACAACAAGTGCCAAAATTGCCACCTAACCCAAAACATTAGTCCAACTTCTCTAATCATATATTTTCAAGGAAAATGCTAAAAACCTCCCACCCCTGCTACCAACCATGCCCCCCTACATAAACATGTGGTAGGGAGGCAAGAAAATTAAAATTAGAGGATGGGTGGAGAATGGGTAGAAATAAATATGTGGTGAAGAAGTTGGTGGAGGCAAGGTTGGTAGCAAAGGTGAGGGGTGTGTAGTACGGTCCTATTTTCAAATGATCATATGTAAGGTCATATCCTCAATAAGGACAAAAAGTCATAGGCCTTGTCTAATCATCTCCTTTCATTTTTCTTAGGTCTACCCCTTCTCTTACTCCACTCACCAAAAAAATGTAAGCATCACGCACCTCGGTATTGAGTTGTTAGCATTGCACCGTCTCACATGCCCAAACCATTTAAATCTAGTTTCATGTAGCTTTTCTTCCACATGTGACACGCCTACCCATCTTCAAGTAACCTCATTCCAAACCGTATCCATCTGTGTCCGCTTTCATCCATTGCAGCATGCAGTTACGAATGTGGTTTTCTTAACTGTCTGAGACTCCGCACCATGTAACATAAGTATTCTGACTGCAGACTAGTAGAACTTAGCTTTCATTCTGAACAAGATCTTCTCATTGCACATAATCTTTGAAGCTAACTTCCTCTTAATCCAAGCAAGTCAAACATGAGGTGTAACATTCCCGTCTAATTCCTCATCCGCTTGAATTACCGAATTAAATACTCTCTCTGTCCGGAAATATTCTTCCCATTTTCCTTTTTGGTCCGTCCGAAAATAATCTTCTCATTTCCTTTTTTAGCATGCTTTTTAAGGCTAAATATCAATAATACCCTTCTATTTTATCACAAATCTACTTTTTAATATTTTTTTAATAATAAAAGGAGATTTAAAAGTTTATAGTATGTGCATTTTTGAAAATTTTACATTTTTTTTATTATTCCTTAATAAGCGTGCCAAGTCAACACGGGAAGAACATTTCCGGACGGAGGGAGTATTGAATTACCGAATCAAATTCCTTTCTCTAGTTACCAGAATGCCAAACGAAATCTCGAAATGCTCAATTTCTTAAATTTTAGTGTTTTTGACTTAGATTCACTAATTTTTTCTACACTAGCATTAATTAATTTTTTTTTAAAAAAACTCTTCTCCGTCTACCGTCTCTATTTAAACAGCTCAATCCGCCATTAATTAGAGCTCAAGAAGGAAAATGGGCGACAAACTGAAGCAAAAACCCTACGTTTCCTACGACTCCGGCAGCGATGAAGAGGGAGACGATGTTGAAGATCTTCTTCCACTGGAAAAATTGAATTTGGGTCCTCAGAAGAAGCTCCTCGTGCTCTGTCTCGGCGATCTACTGGTGCGCCGGGTGCACGTTAGAGATAGGCGCACCGTTCGCGGCTTCGAACCTGACGTCACCCATGGAAAATTTCTAGGTCAGATTTTTTTAAAAAATTTAATTTTATTGTTTCTCTCCCAATTTTGATTTCACTGTGAAATTTTGATTTTTTTTGAAGCAGTGTTCAAAAGGCCTTTATGTACGGAGTTCATGAAATTCTGCTTTGATCGATTTGTGGTCGGGTTATGGTCTTCTGCAAGAGAGTGAGTTTTTTTTTAAATTTTTAAATAGGGAGTAATTTATTTGTTCATAATAAAATTAACATTATACTCTTTCTTTCTGTTAATGAATGTAGTAGGATTTGTCGTTAACGTGCTCATTCTTGTTGGGCTCGTAATTAGGTCATGATCTTGTAGCTATTATAAATAGGAGATCTAGGTGTAATCAAATCATTCAAGTTTAATTTTAATTATATTTCTACATGGTATCGGAGCCAACGAATCTAAACCCTAGTTTGTTCTAATTTGTCGCGCTTCCGCCGCCTCCGTCGCTCAGTTTGTCCAGCGACGGCAGCATCATCATCGGCATCACCATCGATTTCCATTACCGATCATTGTACCTCTGTTGTTGACGATAGAGGTTTCGATCTGTTCGTCCGATCGAGGAATCCGTCCGTCGCCAGCGAGTCTCTGCGATCGTCCGGCGTCTTGCCTGACCGGCGATCGGTTTTTCTTCTCCTCAACGAAGGTTGGAGTTTCTTCGGCGATCATCGGACGTCTTCTCTGTTGGTCGGCGATTTTGGTCAATTGTTGCTGTTAATTGGTCGGCAATTGCAATTCCAAAAATTGTGGAATTCTGGTTTTCTTTTTCCTTGCAAATTTGGGCCGACGTTGCTGTTGGGATTAATTTGGCTCTGCAATTCGTTACTAGTTCTATAGTGATTAATGGATTGGTTTGCTCGTACTCCACGGAAGAAGATTTTCGTATTTGGACCTAGCTATTTTGTTGATGTTTTGATGACATTGTTTTGGGTTGCTATTTCATATGTTCAAGTGCAACCAGCTGTATGTTCGACATGTTTGTTTGTGAGGTTGGTCGCATAGTCGCGCCTCAGTTCGACATATCAGTTTGTGAGGTTGGTCGCATAGTCGCGCCTCAGTCCGGCAACACGACCTCCAAGTTTGGGATGCTTGTTAGTCGTCCCCGTCAGTGGCGCACCCTCAGTAAGCAGTAGTTTTAAATAACAAGCAAACGTCCCGGCCAGTGGAAGCAAGCAACAACAGTGTCGTCTAGTTCAAGTTCAAGAAATAGTTAAAAAGATCAGAATCAAAACAAAATTAACAGGTTCAACACGTAAGGAATTAGAGTACGTCAACTTGAGGGGGAGTGTTAAGGAATGTAGTAGGATTTGTCGTTAACAGGCTCATTCTTGTTGGGCTCGTAATTAGGTCATGGTCTTGTAGCTATTATAAATAGGAGATCTAGGTGTAATCAAATCATTCAAGTTTAGTTCTAATTATATTTCTACACTTTCCGTTCATAATTTATCTTCACATTTTCTTTATTTTTCCATTCATAAATTATCTTTCGTTTTCTTTTTTCACTTTTTTCAATGACCAAAGGACAACTATGGAAAGTGAGAACATTTTTTACTTTTCCTTAATTTGCGTGTAAAGAAAGCGGAAGCCGGTAAGATTATTTTTGGATGGATGGAGTAATATTGTATAGTATAAATGATTTGGTGATTGACTGCTTTGATAAATATATATTATTGTAGCCATAATATTGATGCTGTTTTGAGCTGTATCACTGGTCATGGAAATAGGCACAAGTTGGCTTTTGTTTGGGTGAGTAATCTTCTTCTTCTTGGGAGTTCATATTGTACATTATGCTCATTTATAATTTAGAAAAATACTCATTTTGCATATTTATTTATTTGCATATACTTAGAGGATGCACATTTTGAAGTTGATGTACATTGAATAAATTGTGTATTGTATACCCAGCATATATATGCCCATTTACAAGTTTGAAAATATCGATTTCGCACATTTATTTCTTTGCATATATTTAGAGCATGCATATATAAAAACTGCACATTGTTCATTTTGTTGCTAAAAGAATTTTTTCATTTTGTTGTCAATAACACTTCCAATCGATGAAAGAAAAACATAAAATCTTGAAGATGAAATTGTTGAGAAGTGCATATTTATTTTTTAAATACACACACATTTCTTTCTGTCCCTTAATAACGTTAGGTGTTCTCACATGTTCGATTAGAAGACTCTCATCCTTTTAGGTAAACATTTTTGTCTCAAGGGTTATGGTTGATTATTGGTATAATGCTGAGCTATGTGGTGTTTTTTTAGGGCATTTTGATGTGTTTGATAAAAATGTCTAAAAAACATGGTGTTAAAATTGGAATCACATTTATTTATTCATTTATATATTTACTCCAGATTTGTTTATGTCAATGATATATTTATACAGGCACAAGAGGAATGTGAAGATTCTGGTTTTTATTGTCTAGAAAAGGAGGAAAAACCCATATTTCTCAAGCGTTTGGAAGATCTTTGGGGGAAGAAATATCCCATTACCCTTCCATGGAAAAATGGCCAATATTCAGCTTCTAATACTCTCTTGATTGATACCGAGCCCCACGTATCGCTCCTCAACCCAGTGTGTATCTCCCCAGCTTTTCTTTAAATGCAAATTAATATTTTTTTTTTAAAAAAATCATCTTTGTTATTTTTATGGGACAAAACAAGTGTTTACAATTCTTTCCCATTTTTTGGGAGGCGCTGCAGGTTGACTCGGCTATATTTCCGCAACCATACAAAAAACCGAATCCTAGGGAACAAAATTATACTGCATTTATTTAATCTGTGATTTTTAGGTTAGGATAAATATCCTTTCTAGGCCTTACCTTGTGGGTGATTATACTATGTTATTGTTGATGTTGGTGTTCTTGTTGGGGTTTATCTGTTGATATTGTAGGACAAACGGGCGAGTTACGAAGTTTTTTGGAAGGGGTTGCAGAAGCAGATGATGTTCCTACTTATGTGAAGGAGAATCGCATCGGGCAACCTCCGATAACGCCTTCACATCCCGATTGGAAGTACTATGAAAAGATCGTCCGTCACTTCGGCAAGAAATAACATAATGTTTCCCTAGCTAGTAGTAATAATAAACATAATAATGAAAATGAGAATATTAAATACAACCCTATTGGATTGAGTGCTCATTTTGGAAGTGAGTAATTTGAGATTAGAGGAAGGTGCCTACCTATGATAGGGTGGACATTTTAATGTTTTATAACAACCCTTGGGGTTGTTTAGTAGTTTATTAATAAAACTAAGATTATATTGCATCATGCATTTGAACAGTTTATTTGAATGCCTCTATTTGATATAAATGTTCTAATTTTGTACTCCGGGTACTTTTTTTATTTGGAAAAGTTGAATTAGACTGTAAAATACAAAAGTAATTAATTAATCAATTACTCACAAAGAAAGAAAAAGTAATAAATTAATTAAAAAATTATAAAGGTGTATTATAGAATGAGTGCTGTGGAAGAATGAATACAAGTAATTGAAGTAAAAAGGTATATCCCCGATTGCTTAACCAGAGAGATTCTGAGCAATCTGAGAAATGGCTGAATATGTTCCAAAAGCTGATGATATCACACCTGCTACCATCACCAGTACACAAGCTCCTCCCTGCAAACACAATTTGGCTTTTCTCAGACACCAAAATTTATCGGTTAAGAGCCGGTTCGGCGCCGCAAAAGTTTTTTTTTTTTACATAATAGCCATTTCAGACATTTAAAAAAAGGTGGGTTTTGCACTATTTTATCTCATAATCAACCTATTCAACTAATGCAATCAGATGAGAGTCTGTATACCTGGATGTAGCTTAATTTCCCCCTCAGTATACTCAGATAACATGCACAGGGAAGTATTAGTGTCTGCACAGAGATATAGAGAGAGAGATTGAATCAATCATTATATACATGGTTGAAACTGAAAGAAAGGGGGAGTCAAAATAGGTAGGGCCGAAGGAATAGGTGACTTACAACTAGCATCGTGAGGAATGATCCGATGAATGACATAACGAGACCTGTAAAATGCAAGGTTTACTGTGATGAAAATGATGCACGAAATGTTCGATAAGATAGGAATAATGGGTAGATAAGTTGGCAGGTTTTTTTCCAGCATAAAACAGAGAGATGAGAGCTTACCAAAGAAAGGTATCAAGAGACCAAAAATTAAGGAGGATATAACCAAAGCTGTCCTGATGAAGATTGAATAGATCCGAGACTTGACTTTGCCCGAGGAGGGTATCAATTCTTCAAGACTCAATGCCACTGGAGCAACCGTTAATGCATACTTTGTGAGTGGATTGACAACCGTTGTCCACACTGCAATTTTGGAGGCGATTAAATCTTTTGGCATATTTAGAGTGAACTGTGACTGTGCAGAATCTCCAAACATCTTATATCCCATCACAGCCGTTCCACCATACAGCAAAGTCACTATCCCAAAGCTGCTTTCAACAAGAGTGTTAAAGAATAAGTGTTGTGCTAACTCAAAAACACTATGTTTGGTTTGGGAAATTAGGAAGGAAAGGAAATTGTTAAGGAAAGATGCAAAAAAAAGTAGTAGTTTTTTTAACCAAAAAATTCAAGAGGTGAAGTGAAGATTGTAAGGAAGCTAGCTATAAAAGTTCCCATTCATTAATATATTCAAATTTAATGGATGTGGAAGTATATACCTGGTTAGGAGGACTGCAGGGAATTGGTTACGTTTCTGCATTGATGAGTATATGTTGGGAAACACGGCATGACCCGAGTAACAATAACCATAGAGACCAACTGCCACCGGAAGAGTGGACAGATTCAATGTGGTCTCTTTGCTTTCGAATCCAACGTGATTGACCAAACCAACCCAATACAAGGAAGCAACAACCATTAGAGATGCAATAACTCCTCCAGCTGAAACAAAAAGAACTTTAAAATAAGCAAATGCATAAAGAAGCCTTTTTTTTCCATCTCCAACAGTAGACACTAACTAATTTAATTAGTTTATAATGTGCTCATCACCTGATAAATAACTAAGAACACTGAGGTCACGCAGCCAGGTTGTAGGAAGAACAGCCAGGGTTGCAATAAGTGCAAAAAGATGGTGTGCATCTAAATGTAATCCTCCCAAACTCAAATGCGCATTTGGAAATAGAGATGACAGGTTATCGGCTTCCAAAATAATATACTCAATACAACATGCCTGCAACCAATAACCCATAGATAAGCTCATCTTAATAGATGCTAGTTCTTGAAATTGAAAAATTAAAAGCCGTTGAAGACTTGGTAGGTAAGGCATTTATGCTTACATATAATTCTGCATATAAAATAATCTGCATCCACAAAACACGAAAGGGCCAAAAGAACGGAGTCAGTGCAAGATATACTTAAAAATTTCAGGATAAATTTAATGTTTAATAGACAATAAACTGAAAACATAAATCATCTAGGTTTTAACTTTTAATAAAACATGTCTTGCGTGAAAGCCTTAATGTCAGTTTGGGTGGAGGTTATTGGGAGTTTTGGTGGGGGAAGAGTTTGAATTTTGGAGGATTAAGTCTGTATCTTGATGTTCCGTCTATATTTGACACTTTATAAAAATAGAAGGAATAATATAATAGGTGATCATACAACTTTTATGCATTTCTTGTTGTCTATTTATCAAGATATAGACAAAGTCCTTCAAAGACTTCCCTCCAAAATCTTCCAAACCCATCAATCGAAATTGACCCTTGGATGAATTTACAAGGCAACTAAAACCCTTTTTAAGAACTGAGAAAGAAAAACTTACAGAAATGAGAACCCGTCCAGCTGAACCAAATGCAGCCTGCCCAATGTCGGGATAGGTCTCAAGACCTGGTTGGCTGTCTAAACAGTGACGCAGAAGAATCCCGGTGTAGAAAGAAAGAACAGCATAGAAAAACAATATAGAAAGCCCAATCCATCCACCCTGTCTAACAGCATAAGGAGTTGAAAGGATCCCTACTCCACATAAAACATTAATGCCTGTTTTGAAACAAGCAGATATATATCAGCTAATATACTTTGGTTGTGGATTAGTTGGCCTTATGCTGCTTAAACATAAATCTGAATTTGTAAAGATAAATTTCAACGTATTCAAAGTAAGAAAAACTTTTGTACATTCACCACTGTGAATGCTCCATCTGGTTCACAATAAGTGTAGCTTTTGAAGAAATCACACAGATGACGGAGCTATTATATGGTCAAAAACTTCGCAAGCTTAGACTTAACTAATACTACGGTATTTGATTAATGCACAGTATGCATAGAGAAAATTCTTCATTTAAAGGGCCTTTTTTCAAATCTATAGCATTGTCTGCAACTTATCCTTAACCAATGACTGCACCAAATTAATTGATTTAGTTATCGTTGATGATAAATTCTGCATAGGAGTCCTAAAGGAATACAAAACAGGAAATGTAGCAATGAATAATAAGCATTGGCTTAGCTTTATAAAACGACACACAGTGTAAAATAAAAAATTTCCTCCAAAATGATTGTTATTTGAACCAGAGGGAGTAATTTCAAATGACAGGTGAACAATGAACATCATATCTTAAAGCCTTGAAGGTGGTTAAAAAATATACCATTTACCACAGTTTGGCCAAAGGAGCTCTTCTGAGGCATGGGAGCTTCAGGTGTGAATGTAGAGGATTTCCCATCATGGGTAACTTTCTTTACCACAGAGGACCTTGAGGGTATAGGAGGAAGTAAAGCTTGGGAACTTCGTCTTTGTTTGTCCTCTTCTTGTGGCGGTAAGAGTGGTTTATGCAGTGTGGGCAAAATCTCGGGAGTGTGTCTCCTTGTAAGCGTCGAGGAAAGAAACGAGCTGCCTAACCGTGATAATGAGGGTGTCCCAAGAAAGTTTATACTTGGAGAGTGTAGACTACTATACATATCAATAGATTGCCTGTTCCAAGTACATTGATAATATTAAACCACATAAATCTTTCAAATTTGATGCATGTGCAATTTACTAACACTTGGGGTTTCACTGTAAAAGGTTAACTGATAGGAGGAAAAACTCAGTGTTTAGCACTTTGACCATCAGTGGAGTTGGTTCTCTTTGAGCTTGTTCTTGATAGCTTAAAAATATATTAAAACAACAAAATAATAGCAGGTAAAGGAAAGAGAAAAGACAGAGATGAATACAGAAGAAGCAAACACACACATCGATACAACAAAATAAGAAAGCAAGTCCTCCACAAAACCCTGGTTAAATCCTGAACCCCAAAACCTACCCTACCAAAATCTACCCAAAACCAGAGGTGGATCCCGAAAAAATGGTGAGCAGGGGGCACATTGGGCAAATAGAGGCAAGAACTACACAGGGCCAGGGGGCAGCGCCCCAAATTTTTTATTTAAAAAAAAGTGAAAAGGTCTATTCTCGTATGAAAAGGTCTATAATTCAAATGAAAAGGTCCCAAAAAAGAAAAACATAATTTATGGAGTACATAATAACTTAGTTTAATTATCATATTCTAAATACTTCACTTTTAGATTCTATTCTCGAAATAATTTTTAAATGTCTACTTTGAAATGCTATTCTTTTAATTTTTAAATCTTTCGCTTTTCTCAATTTTTTTCTCACACAACAATTTCATTCCACAATCCACAAAATCACAATAATATCATTTTTAACACCCGGGTTTTTTTGACAACAGATTTTGTTGTCATATTATGAAAACAGGCACATTGCTCCATTTGTAAAAATGATGTCTCTACTACCCAAACCCCCCTAGATCGAAGAATTACTGATGTCAATCAGCAATCCAAGCAGGGGCAGGGAGGATAGGTAGGTGCCTCAAATGTGTTGTTCACTTGTTCTCATAATATGACCACTCTTATTGTCAAAAAAAAGAGAGCTGTTTTTAAAATACTCCTATAATTTATAATTTTTAAATATTATATGAATAGTTTTTCATCCCCCCCTCCCCCATACTACTCAAATTGATCCTACCCTGCCCAAAACCTACCCTACCACCCTAATCCTAGACCTCCATAATCTCTGCAATAAAAAAACAATTATATCATAGATAAATGTTGCAACCCATAACAATTTGAATCAATAATGGTTTGGATAGGCTTGCTGAAAAGTGGTTTTGGAAATAATCAAAATTGTTTAGTTTCAATAGAGCTGAACTTAAAGTAAAAGAGAAACTGAAAGGAAAAAAGTAAGCTGTTATAAATTAACCATAATCTACAAATTTTTGTTTTTTTCTAATAAAAAAGGTGACTAGATTTCAGCTGATGTTCCTAAACCCATAACTTTTTTTACAAAACATCTTATGATCTAGTCCCAAACAATAATTGGAATGGGACATACTACAAAAGACCATCTGGCCCCAACTATAAATTTTCTTCTTCTGCCCATGTGGAGTGGGCCAACTAAAATCTACTCCGTCCATCTTCTCCTAGCATATCTACTTTCTTTTTAAAGAATTGAAAAATTGTTTTGGTTTCCATTTTTAGAAAACAAGAAGTTACTCCGTATAAAATACTCTGTCCATCTTGTTAGCAAGATATAGGTATTAGAAATAATCAATCATAATGACTACCTATGTTTCATAAATTTATTTTCTTCTAAAAGTATTCCCCCGTCCAAAACACGTTACCACAATTTGACATTTGTGGTCAAATTGTACAATATTTTGACCATAAATTATAGAAAATGTATATTTAGTTATAATTAAAATTTAGTAAATTTAGTTTCATTTTAAAATATAGTTTTGATATATCAAATTTTTATAACATTTAATTAATTAAAACTATATTCAATTTATGGTCAAAGTTTTGCACTGTTTGACCAAAAAATCAAACTACAGTATCTTTTTAGGACAAAGTGAGTAATACTTAACTTATTTAGGAAAACTTTATTGAATAAAAACATACAATAAAAGAAAAAATAATTTTTTTGATCAAATACTCTCTTTTTCCAAAACTGAACTTCTCCTTTCTTCATGAAATTTAAAAAGTAACATTATGTGGTCAAGATTTATACGAATGATTTCTTTAAAAATGACTAAATGAGTATTAAATAAAAACATGAAAGGTTTTGGAACAAAGGAAGTATGACTTGGGGGGGGGGGGGGGGGGGG